ATCAAGAATTATGCAAGCATTAAATTAATTTTAGAAGATTTTCCTTTTTAAAAAACGGTTAAGTTGCTTTAAAAATGATTTGTGTAATCATAATCAGTTCTGGGGCTCTCTCCTCCTCCCGCATATATTGCTTGCTCCCCAAACCCCCTCACCCGCCCTATCTCCCACCCCCCACCGCTGCCGCCCCTATAAACTCTGGCCTCTGTTATTCTCTCTATGCAGCTACTCTTTCTGTGCTTCACAAACTGAAAAACCCAACAGATATAATAAAGACAGAAACAAAGTAAAGGGGTAAGGATACAATCATAATACAAAATAAAAATACAAATAATGAGTACGAAAGAAAAGACCACCATCAGTAGCTAAAAGGCCAGAGTAGAAATTTTTGTCATGGAATTAGCAAGAAATACTTGCACCTACAGCAATTTTAGGTTGGGTCAAGAGTAAGGTGACCAGATTTTAACATTGGCAAAGCGGGACACTTGATAAAACTCATATCCTGGTGAAATAGCCACATGGCAGCCGAAAACCGTATATCCTAGCTTGTCGTGCATTCTTTCCAAAAATCAGGACTTTTTAAAAACGCAGCGGGACGTGGGACAATTTGTTAAAAAGGGCAGTCCCGCCAAAAGCAGGACGTCTGGTCACCTTAGGAGGGAAATCAACTGACCTAGTATTAAGTTCAATTCAATATAGTCATCATTACTGTTAGTCTGGGTACTTTAGAGAAACAAATCCACAGAAACTCATGTAGAAGAGTGAGTTTTATATAAAGGGTAAGTGCACATCAAGAAAACACCCCAACCCACTGCTGCCCAAGCCCACAAGTCCAACATTAACCCATATGTCCGACACCAATCCACAAAGTCCTCCCCCATCTCACAAAACACACACTATGACGCCAACTGCAGGAAGAAAGCCGAGTCAGCGAACGTGGAAGAATCTCACCGCTGGCAGAGATCTCCACACGGCTGCTCCAGCTCCCAGGTCTGCATCGGGTAGGTCCATGTGGCTTCTCCTTGGGGATGTCTTGCAGGAAGTCAGCCTTGCTAGCTGAAGCAGGGAACTGCTAAGGCAGCCGCACCCTGGTCTGACCATCACAAGCAAGAGACCCGCGAACTAGAATGGCGAGGCTCACTGAGCCACGTATCCCTCCGCCCTTCAATGAACCCCACCTGTGTTTATCGGCCAGGTCGGCACAATCAACTAACTCCCTCAATTACAATGATCTTGATCTGATGAAGCTGTTCGAAACCCTTGGCTGAGGCTAGAGGGATCTGCATAGGGTTTGGGTTTCCACAGCTGTCTATCGTCTTCCACAGATTGGGTGTTTATAATTTAGGGTCTGATCCTTTTCTCGTTGTCATGTTTGAAGTTTGTTATCGTCATCTTTGTTCACACAAGCTGCTGTGCTTCTTCCATGCGGACTTAGTTGACTCCTCGCTTCGATGGTTGCTTGTTTGACGATAAGCCTTTAAGGCCCCAGTCACTATTCCGATTTAGAGCCGGGCACCATTGTTTTCTTCACCACACTTTGCTGTAGCACCCCTATCCTCAGTGACCATGCCACGGAGGTGAAAATCCAACGGGGCCTTGCTATCAGTATGAAATGTTCTTGGATTGGGGCTAGAGTTAAGTGGGGGTCCAGGATCCATCCGCTTGTCCCTGCATGACTCAGGTTTATGTTGGTGTTCATATTACGACAAAATCGAAACCTCATAAGACCAACTGCCCCAACTGCCGCAACCAACCAACCAACAAGCAAACAACAACAACAACAAACAAAGGCAGGAAAACAAAACCCCACAGAAACATAAAAGTAATCCATCGACAAGCATCCCCCTGGAGTGCTAGGAGACCATTGCCCTGGCGGCATCATCAGTTTCCCCACGACACAGCACCACGGGCACTGTCGGCAGGAGGAGTCTCCGCACATACAGCTGCACCGTGAGCCGCAACCCTTCCATCATTGTTGCTCCCCACGGTTTGATCTCCCAGTGCGTTTTTTTTTTGGGGGGGAGGGGATAAACCCGTGCATGTATGAACTGGAACATTAGTGGCAATACTTGTTGATGTAAGCTTGTATAAACCCAGGCTTGAATCCCAGCAAGGAATTTGACAAATTCTCTCCAGGTGTTTTTCCTTTGTTCCACAAGCCTTTATTGCACATTGCTTTTAGGATAGAGGCAATACCAGTATTAAAACAAAACAAAGCAAACACCCACAGGCCAAATTTGGGCTTGGGTTTCCCCAATACTTAAGCTGTTGCCCCTGAGGCCGTGTGTTTGCTTGCTTGCTAATAACAAGTGCAGTGAGGAGGAGGAGGGGGCACTGGGGAGAGGCGCTCAGGTGTAAAGGGTGCTGGGGAGAGAAATGACAAGGGACCATCGCCTCTTGTCTGTCCGTCTATGGGCCAAGGTTGGGGGAGAACTGGAGGGCTGGTTGATGCGGTTGGAGGCCCTTGCCACAATTCACGAGGGTCATGGAGACACAGATGGCCTGCAGGCCCCATTTTAGACAGACTTGGGAAGGATGGTGGATAGTTCAGAGGAAAGATGGCATGCAGACTAGATCGAGGGGGTGAGTTCTGTGAGGTCCATTTTAATAAGGGTCAACCCCCTCGGCCTATATGTGAGGCCCCAAAGCCAGCCTCACAAATCCGTGGCCCATGCTCCAGTGGACGGTATGCTAAGCCTAGCCAGATCAGGTGGTGTAGCTGAGACAGAGAGCATGCGCCTGCGCAGCATCACAAGAAGCCGAGTATCAAACACAGAAGCAGAGGGGTCTGTGTGGTCTGCACTGCAGAGCCGATATCTGGGGGAGCATGGCCTTAGGCCTGCCCCCGGAAGCTGAGCTGGAAAGAAAACCTGCTTCCAGATCAGGGGCTGCCTAGGATGTGGGGGAAAGGCCAGCCACCCCACAACTAATCGTGGGTTAGATAGGCACAATTGTACAGTGAATATATATATATTATAATAACGTCATAGCGAATGAGAGAAATAGGAGAGTGAAATAAAGACGTCAGACACGTTTCATGGTAGCGTACTCACCTCAGGGATGGCCATGACCTTACCAGCCAGGTCCGCTCACAGCATGGGCCGAGGACAGGAGAGTGAGGTGAGGCCGGAGGTTTGTTGCTAACCAAGGCTTATCTATTTGGGGGTGTGCATGCCTCCTAATTACAGGTAAAGACACACGTCACAGGAAGAGGCTGCACAACAGGCAATACTAGCAATAGGAGGGGGATATACCACAGACATAAGCGTGACAGGAAGGGGATGAGCTAGAGGTGTACACGTGATAGGAAGGGGTGGGACTAGGGGTGTGCCCATAGGAAGGGGTGGAACTAGAGGTCTACATGTGACAGAGAAGGGCGGACCCAAGATTCATGATGGTGGCCTAACATTGGTCACCCTTCAGTGGGCTTGACCTCCCTAGGTTCTCCTTCAGGGAAACAATTTACTACTATCCTTATCAGAAGGGAGTGGGCCCTACTTGTTGTGGGATAAACAGTGGTGACTGCTTGCTCCAGATGGCTGATTAACCCTTAGGGAGAATAACCCCTGAGCTACTTCTGTTGACCTCCAGGTGTATAGTCATTTACCACGTGTAGCAAGCAGCTAAGTTTGGCATATATTTGGGGGAGACAACTTGGGAGAAATCTTTGTTTCCCACACTAAGAGGGAGGCCGATTCCTCAGGTTCCAGGTCAGAATGCTGAACTTTTCACCAGGAGAGCTGGTTCTCCAGGGTGAGATTAATGAACTGATTAATCCTTTCCACAGTTACTAATTGTGCTTTACCTTGGGCCGCATGTGGGTGAAATGCTGGGGCAACACAGTGAACATGACAGAGAAATCCGTGGCCCCATGGGGTTATAATCCAGTGGGGTGGGGGTAGGTGAGGGGTGGAGGTGTTGGGGGTAGCTACTGAAGAAGAAATCCCAAGTGCAAGGAGCTCTCGGGGCGCAGAACAGGGACCTCGACTCTGCGTCAGGGTGGAAACCCTGAGGCCAAAGGGAATGGTGCCTCCTGCGACCACCAGGGCTGCTGGGAGGGGACACTTAACCACCTTGCACTCCATTGTCTCCCTAGGACAAACAGTGGCATCCAAAGTACTTGCCCAGCCAAGGCTTGTTGCAGCCCGAGTGGCCATGCTTCGGGAGGTTGGAGTGGACAGAGCTGGGGCCCACAAGCCCTGGCCAGTGTCTGCCCCATTCTGATCTCACTCTCTTTACCTGTAAGTAGAAGAGCCTTAATCAGAGAATCGTATGGGTTTCTGTTCTATGAGTCTGATCGTTTATGGTAAACAGTGTGCATCAAGTCTAGTCCAGGCTTCCGTCCTGTGGACCACAGCCCTCCTTTCTTACAACTGCAGCCTGCCTGGGGCTCAAAGGGGGCAAAATTCTGTATCTGCCAGCCCCAGGACCCTTCAAGCATTTGCCCAATGCTTATAGGCTATAGAGCAGCCATTCTCAGCTTGTGGGTCACGGAACGCCCCTTTCACAGGGGTCACCTGATTCATAGCAAAATCACAGTGATGAAGTAGCAATGAAAATAATTTTATGGTTGGGGTGGGGGTGGGGGTTCACCACAACATGAGGAAGTGCTTCAAAGAGCCGTGGCACTAGGAAGACAGGGAGTCAGTAGGAGTCTTGCTCATGGAACAGGGTCTGAAGTCAAGTTCAGAGTTTCCAGAGGAAGCTCTATGTGAAGGCCACAACTTCCGCATCTGACTGTGGATCAGAAGGTTCACCCAGTCCATAGGGTTGCCTGGCTCCCAATCCACTTATTTCTGGGGTCAGCGCCCTTTGGACTCAATCCAGAGATGCATTCTTTGGGTTTGACACCTGGAACTCTCTCCGAGAACCCCATCTGGGGAGAGTCTGCTGACCTCAGGTGCTTAGCAGATCCGGGTCCAGTTCTGGGGAAGGATCTAGCATCCTCTGCAGGAAGGGTACAGAAAAACGGACAGGTGTCTCTTCCCACTGCCGCAGGTGGAGGCTGCAGGATCTGCGGCCTTGCTCAGGTGGCTTCCAGCCTAAAACAGAAACAAAAGAAACCCATGCCCCAAATTCTCGAATCTCATGCCTCTTTTTGGCCATGGCTCTATGCGTCTCCTTCCTCTACAGACCAACCTCTGCAGAGCTGTCTACACGTAAGGCCTTCCCTTCCCTACCTCCCATCCACCGCTTGACCCACCGCTCCCTGGCTTCCCCCGCCACGCTGCTAAGACGGGCCCGCCAGGAGCACTCAGCAGGTCCCTGTGGGCAGATACACAGGCAGCCCTTCCATTCATTCCTCTGCATCGCCCAGTGGCATCTGACTCTACTGGCCACCCTGAACCCCTCAACACCCTCTTCACTCCGTGTGCACCACACCGGTCTCCATGCATCCCCCTGCCTCTCAGATCACCTCCAATGCCTGTCCAGTCCTCTTTTCCAAAGATCAGGGCTTTCCCCTCCCATTTATATTGCTTCATGTTATCATTGCATATTCATGGGTTTGACTCACCCACTGGGTGGCATCCATCTCAGCCTTCCTGGTCATTAGCCCAGGGACTCAAAAAATACCTGTTGGTTGAATGGCCTCACAGTTGAAAGAATGGACACACAATGCCTCTGTATTACATTTTACCTTATGAAAGAGGGTGGGCCCAGTGCTCAGTTAACAGTTTCCTCCCCTGGGAAGTCCCCAGGCACTTTCTAGATGAGTGGGGAAAACTTCCAGGAGGGAGGTGCTGGCACTGGGTGGGGAAGCAGGTTACCCAGTAACACCAGGCTAGGCCTGTGACTGGGTCCCAAGAGACTCCGGGTTCTATCCTCACTAATGAACCAAAGAAAAGAAAGACACGGCAGAGGGTCCTTGGAGGGAAGGGGTGGTGAAGAAGGAAGGGGGGAAAGTTACGCATAGAGAGGGTCACTGAGGAGAAAAAAAGACAAGAGTGGATTTAAGAGAGGAGAGAGGAGTGTGCAAGAAGTTGTGTGTGCATTCAAATACCATGATTGTGACACTGCACTACTTCATGGCATATAAAGATTCTAGATGTAATTGTCCCCTGGTTATTGGTTACCTCTTCTCTCTCTCTCTCTCTCTCTCTAGCTAGTTATCTCCTATCTATCTATCTATCTATCTATCTATCTATCTATCTATCTATCTATCATCTTCTTTCATTCTTAAAGTAAGACCTCTTCTCTGGTCTGGCCACAGCCCTGAGCAAGGTTGAGCCGCTTTCTCTGGGCTCTTCGGCTGGTTTCATTCTTAGGTCACAGACCTGGCTGCACTGTGTCACCCCTGATCTAGTTTGCCCATCTGTCTCCTCCTTTAGAATGTCAGGCCCTATTATTTTCTGTCTCCCTGACTCCTAACTCATGCCTGGCTCCCAGATTCTTCTCTTCCATGGACAAAGCAATGAATGAATGACAAGTCACAGACCCTGAGGACAGGAAATAAGTGCACTAGATGGAGAAGAATCAGTTGCTGAGTGCATATATCATGAGTGACCCCGGCCGCACACAGGTTTCCTGCATGACTTCCTACACTTCCTTCTATCAGAAGCTGGGTGCCGTTGCGAGAAGCACTGAAGCTTAAGGGAAAGTGCCTGAAATGGGTGCATGAGCAGGTGGTGAAGACAGTGGATGGTGCCTGGCTATTAAAAGATATAGCATCTGGG